AAAAAAAAAAACAAAACATTTTTTTTTGAGACAGGTTCTTCCTCTTTTGCTCAGGCTAGAGGGCAGTGGCATCATCCTAGCTCACTGCAACCTCCAACTTCTGGGCTCCAGTGATCTTCCTGCCTCAGCCTCCTGAATAGTTGGAACTACAGGCCTGCACCACCACACCCGGCTAATTTTTCTGTAGGGACAGGGTCTCACTATGTTGCTCAGGCTGGTCTCAAATTCCTGGCCTGAAGTAGTCCTCCTGTCTCAGCCTCCCAAAGTGCTCAGATTACAGACATGAGCCACTGCACCCAGGCTCTCTATGTATTTTAAAGACATCGTTTGATTGGCATTAGGGTTCGGTGTGAGCCCCTTAAAGACACTTGATGGGGAGTTTTAGAGATTTTTGAGGATAAAAAAATTCACCCACTTTTAGTAATATAATTTGGTTAATTTTCTCCTCTCTGGAATGAAGTTCCAATTGGTTTGTCAGCAACGAGGTATCTACCCCAAAATCAGTACTCAGACTCCCGAGAAGGTAATTGGGCAAATTGGCCTGTTTTGCTATCTTGTCTTCTTCTTCCTCTTCATCATCATCCTCTTCATGATGCTTTTTAACCAAGCTAATTGCAGAATGAACCTCTACAACTTCCTTTCGTAGCTGAATGTAGAAAAAGATGACATGGAAGTTAGGCAATAATAAAAATTCTCTAAAGGGCAATTTTGTGACAACTTAATTATTTCAACAAACAATCATTTTAAGATGCTAAATTGTCTTGCCAACAACTGAATTCAAAATAATGGACAGATCCCGAAACTGCTGCAGAAGCGATTAAAGCTTCGGAAACTGATAAAGCGTAGATAAATCAAAGGAACAAAAATTGTCCTTGAGAGTATGTAATATTTATATTTTTCTATCAGGATGACACGTGCTTGGAACTATTTTGAGTCTTTCTTGGTACTTAAGTATTAAAGAAATGTATCTTCTCTTTGTATTTTACGAAGAAACTTGTTCATGTAGGACTGGTGGGTAAAGGTTAAGAAGAATTAAGTCTGCCTTCATTTTGCGTCAGAAAAAGAGTGGATGTAAAGTTCTGGCCAAAACAAAACTACAACACAGGGGCAGTGTTCTTTAGTGGTTTGACAGCGATTACTGCTAAAAAGTATGGGATTCAGGAAAACCTTAATTCCATCAGAGCAGATTCTACTTCATCCTTGGTCAGTTATCATAAAACACAATCCTTGGTGATAAGGGAGGATCAAAAGAGCATGAGTGGATGAAGACAACCTCTGAGCAGAATAAGAACAAAATCCAAAATCACATTTTTTAAAGTATGTTCTCATATTTGAGGGCTAACCAGTGTTGTATAGGATACAGGTTCCTTGATTTATGGTATGGATACAGGCTCCTATGTTCATTAGAATATATTCTACAAATGAACAAGAAATAAAACCATAAATACATACAATTTCTAAACTTATATTAAATTGTACCCCAACTCAGATCTGTATGAAGGAGACCCTAAAATAAAGCACATCACTTGTATAAACACAAACAGATTTAAAATTGTACTTTCAGACACTCTGCTTCAATCTTCTTTTGCTGCAGAACTCTCTCCAATTCTTTCTGCTCTTCATCGGTGCGCCCTCTCATGGGGAAGTTCTCAACCACATAGGGGATGTGAAAGCACTTTGGGGAAAAGCACGATGAGACAAATCCATTTTTAGTACAATCGTGTGTATCTGGGGGTAGAGTAGGGGCTGTTTTCTCTGATTAAAATTAACTTATAGGTTATCATACATGAGTGAAATTGACAAAGGAAACCTCCTTTAAGATAAAACAATGTATTCCATATTAGTATTGGTATAAACTCTATAAAATGCTGTGCTTTTGTGAAGAATTTATTTTTAGAGCAGTGGTTCTCAACTAGAAGCAATTTTGCCACGTCCCACCCTCTCTTCGCTCTTCCCCTGAGATGTGGCAATGCCTGGAGACATTTTTTGTTGTCATTACTGGGAGAGAAGGATCCTACTGTCTCTAGTAGACAGAGGCCAGGGATGTGGCCAAACATCTTACAATACATAGGACTGCCCCACAACAAAAACCGAGCCAGCCCAAAACGTGCAGCTCGTGAGAAACCCTATTCTAGAGCAATACTCAATCACATAAATGTAGGGTGCCCCTAGACTTCATTATCAAAACTGGGAGCATATTTGAAAGAGAAAAGGGTGCTGTTAATAGTTACTATAGGACCACAGGAATAAACTGAGACGTTTGTTTGGTCATCCTATACAAAGAGGAAAACTGTGTTTGGAGGAATCTCAGTGAAAGAGCGTGGAAAACAGCTCCTTAGAAAATGTGAAGGCAGGTGCAGGTAGAAATGTGAACGAGATTTTGTCCACCTTTCGATCTGTGTGGAATGTGAGAGAGGTGGCCTTTTGGAGTAGATAGGTATTAGGACCTGGATGCAGGGACTATCATCTTCGGAGACGCTAGCTTGGAAGCACACGGGGACTGAGCAGAGAGGGAAGAAGGAGTCAGGAGACAGTGACCCATCAAGGTGGAATTCAGCATGGGAAGGGGCAAGGCAGGCTTTTGGTGCTTTGCTATATATGGATTTTCTTACATTTATTTATTTTTAAAAATTTCCTGCCATGAGACTTTCAATGACAATCCTCATCAGGTTTCGTACTCGGGGTTTTATCCGTTACCTTAAGAGCTCGACCTTTCACCACCATGGATTTCCAGCATTCTTTTTTGATCAGTTCAGCCAAATAGCTCTTGGCTAGGTTGTGCATCTCTGCGTCCTTTCTCATCTTGAAGAACACAGATAAAGGGAAAAGATGAAAATGAAAATGTGGCCTGAGAAACAATGACCTCCACTGTAAATTCACCAAGTAGCCACAGCTGCACACTCAGTGGCAGTTTGGTTGTCTTTCCGTGACACCTGAGCTGCCCTGCAGTGAGATGCACCTTTCGGGAACACATCTCTGCCTTGGAGAACGTCTCGTGAGGCTTATGTCTGTAGGCTTGGACTCCCTTCCTTGAAGACCGAGGTGTCAAACATAGGTGCCTCTAAAATATCTAAGGCGATCAGGTCACATACGTGAGCGAGGTGGGTGTGAGGACAGACAGGCATCCCGGAGGTGAGCTGCGGAGCTAACGTGTGCAGATCAAGCTAGCTGGGACAGCAGGCGAGCACAACCACTGAGCCAAGTCTTCCTGTTTCATTAGAGAAGTTTGGAATTTACATTTGTATGTGAAGCTGCCAGATAGCTAAATGTTGGCTTCATTCTTGCCAGCACATATTTGAAATGCCAGTTTGTGACCTCTGTTTGGGAGTCTTTACTGCACTTAATTCTTCGATTATTTATATTTATAGTAAAAAGAATGCTCCACCACTCTTGGGAATCATATGATTTACATTTTTCCATTTACAAACATACGTGGTACTTCAATTAGTTTTATCTGTCTAAGTAATGCTATTGCTTATTATTTAAGTAATTAAGTATTCCTGTTTTAATAGAGTTTGCCCAAAGACCTGGTGTGAATGTGGGACCCACCAATATTTAGTCCTTAAAATCCTCTCGGAACCTTTTCTGCATTTCACTTTGTTGGCAGAATAATTATGAAACCAGCTAAGAATAATACCTCCAGGGTCAGTCCCTGATACCGTGTCCAGGTTGTCTTTATTGGGTTTTGGTCTTTTCTGTTTTGTTGAGATCCTGGCTGGGGCTGGCTAGTCTCGTCAGGATTGAGAACCCCAACTGGTAGGTGCCACTAACTCTTCCCAAGGACTGGGATTCTGCTCCCAAACATGCCGACAGCCAGCTGGGTTTATGGTGCCATCTGCTAACATTGTTCCCTCCTGGACCACTGCTGCACCCAAGTCGGTGCTAATATCTCTTCAAAAGCCCAGAGCTCAGGAGAAATAAACAATATGAGGAAAACTAGCATGTGGAGAGCCTTTTGCTGCACCAAAGCCTGCCTCAGAGGATCGAGGAGAATTCTTGAGGGATGTGCAGGAATTTGACAAGTGGCAAGGAGGGGCATTTGGGGCAGAGGCACAGGGTGAGGGTGGGGTGAGTAGGGTGAGTTCGTCAATGGCGAGAAGTCCAGTGGGCCAGGGGAGCAGGTTCATGGCATCAAGCAATCATACAGGATGTGGAGAGAGAAACAACGATAGTGAGAAGATGGGGACAGGCAGCCAACCCAAACTCATTGCCGAGTGGTCCAGATGAACCTGCTGGAAAACCTGGTGCTGATTAGCAGGGGGCATCTGAGCCTGAGTCAAGCCGGAGCCAAGGAGGAGGAGACTGCAGCTTGGTGGTGGCAGACAGGGAGATCTTCCTGGCTCTGATCTCAGCCAAGTGATTCTAGCTCTCTAAGCCTCAGTTTCCTCAAGTGGGGAAAACAATAATCTACCTTTCTGGATTGTGATGATCAAAATAAATAACATTCAAAAAGCTCCTAGATTGGTACCTACCTGTTGCAATAAGAAAATGGGATACTTTCTCATAGCTTCCTGTTGCACATTTAATAAAAGCCCAATTCTTTTTTTTGAACAGTCTTGCTCTGTTGTCCAGAGTAGAGTGCAGTGGCATCGTCATAGCTCAGTGCAACCTTAAATTCCTGGGCTCTAGCGATCCTCCTGCCTCAGCCTCCTGAGTAGCTGGGACTACAGGCACACACCACTACACCCAGCTAATTTTTCTATTTTTTGTAGAGATGGGGGAGTCTTGCTGTGTTGCTCAGACTGGTCTTGAACTCCTGGCCTGATCCTCCCGCCTTGGTCTCCCAAAATGGTGGGATTATAGGCATGAGCCACTGTGCCTGGCAAAAAGCCAGATTCTTTTCCATGATATATAAGGTCTTCAGGAGCTGACCTCTGCCGACCTCCTGCACCTTGTTCCATGAAGCTCTCTCCCAGGCACTGTGCCCCGGCCTTTCTGGCCATTTTGTTTCTGGAATTCTACAAGCCATTCCTGCTTGGAGCTCTTGCTCTTGCTGCTCTCTTTGCACAGCCCGATCTCTCTCTCCTTTTATTTCTCCACTGAAATGTCACCTCTATAAAGTGGGCTTCTTTGACCAGAAGTAGACCCCACCCCACATCTATCACAGCATCCAATGTGTTTCCCTCATACACTATTTGGAAATTTGTTTATGGTCTTTCTTCTTCAGTACGTTAGCCCTATGGGAGCGGAAATGTGTCTCTCTTATTTACTGTATCCCCAGCACCTAGAATCATGCCTGGCACATAAAGGGTGCTCTTAAATAACTGTTGCAGAATGAATGGATGAATCATTATCCCAGGTAAATTTTACCATATGAAGTCAGTCTGTTGAGAACCTTTCTTCCTAGTTATGCAATCCGATCTATTTCCTCTTCTTCTCAGTCTCATGTCATTCACCAATTTGACAAATCTGCTTCATTTCTATATCTTTGCCCAGTCATTAATAAACAAGTTTAACAGGACTGAGTCACATGTTGGAAACCTCCTTCCTAGAGACATCAGTTAAATAATTGGCATCCTTTTGGTATAATTGTTTAATCAATTATAATCTACCTAACTGTCCTTAAATCCAGCTATAAGAAAGATTTCAACTTTAATTAATACAGAGTTTACTAAACCAGAAGGGTCTGAAGTTGGCATAAGGTGGCTGAGAAGACTTCCCAAAGTGTTCAAACATGTGGTGGAAAATGGTTGGCGTGAATGTCATGGAGAAGAGACAAACATCAGATGTCTGGCTGGCTGAGACACTCTGCTTGCCCCAACTCCCAAATGCAATGATTCTTGGACCCATTACACTCATATGCACTGTTTGCTTCGTTCACATTACACTGCGAAAGCTGTTGTTATATTCACATTATTCTGAAAAAGCTCCCTTCTCTATTTGTACCTCTTTCATTATAACTTTATGGTGCTTAAATTAAATTTTTTCATACCTTTGCCACTTCTTCCTCACTTTCATCATGAAGCCTTTCCAATTCCTCAAGATCCAGGCCAAATTCACGTTGGTCTAATTTTGCAATATTATCTACTGTTTCATTTTCTTCCATCATCTTCAGAACCTGAATTTTAAAATAAAAAAGGGTGGTGACAAGTAAAGAATTAAACTTTAAAGAGATGGGTTTCTTTGTCTCTTTAGCAATCAATAAAAAAATAGATGTTCTGTTTATCTAACTGTACTACTGAGTAAAGAATTAGGTTTTGGGCTTATTGTGGTTACTGAAGTTTTAAGGTTTAATCCTTAAAAACTCATTTATCTAATAACAGAAACTCTAAAAATGTTTAAGTACATCACTTCATTGAATGATATTAAGAAATTATTGATATCAGATATACACTTAATAGTACTGTGGTTATATGCTTTAAGAGTCCTTATCACTTAGAGATACATACTGGGATAATTAAGGATGAAATGATATGATGTATAAGATTTACTTCAAAATAATCAGGGGCAGGGTTAATGGATGGGAATATAGATGAAACGATATTGGCCATTGGATTTATTATATTATTATACTCTCCATTTTTGTATGAATTTGAACTTTTGTACAATAAAAATGATCTTTAAAGTTAATAACTTCAAAAAACTCAGGGGCAAAGGATACACATTGCAACATATATGACAAAGTATTAATATCTTTAGTATACAAAAATCCCTTACAAATCAACGAAAAGTCAGATGATATGATAGAAAAAATGGGTCCTTGGTTTCAAAACAATGAACTGAGGATGAGCTTATAATTGTCTTTTCTTGCCACAAAACATAAATTAAGAGAAAAGAAATATATAATAAATAGATAAACCCATTACTGCAGTTAAGAGGAAAAGAGGAAACAAGATCCTTCAGGAGCATGGAAACTATAACTCCTGAAAGAGGAAAATCAGATGGATCAGAAGGATGCATCATAGCCCAAAATGCCCAGGACAGTACTAAAAAAAGGCAGACGCTATACTAGATATGGGAGGCAGGAGTTACCTAAAAGTAACTGGCAGATTGATTAGTGGGGAGTGCTGCATTAGAAACAGACAGTGGACAGAACCTGTGTGTAGCCCCCCAGTAAAGCTACTTGCAGCCCAGCAGTAGTAATCTGAGCATTTGCCTCCAGGTAGGAGCAACTGGAACAGGGATAAACAGAGGATCCTATAAGTGTTCAGAGATAAAAATCTGGTAACCAATGAAGAATTGGGAATCAGAAAGATATTGGATTCTCCAAAGCAAACGCTGAAAGCTAGAAGACAATGCAGCAAGCCTTCAAAATTCTGAGGGAAATCATCCCACACCTAGGCAAACTATCAAATGCATATGAAAGTAGGATGAAGACATTTTAAGAAAAACCATATCTCAAAAAATGTACCTCCCACGTACCCTTTCTCAAGAAGAGAGCCAAAGCATCTTACATCTCGAGGGGGCAGGCACCATTCACATTGAACTGCATTTAAATGGCACCCCAGAAGCACAGCTATGTTATAGAGGATGTTCCCAAGCACAGGGCAACACAGCAGCCCTGCTTAGGAAGCAACTGAAAGACACACCCCAAGGAAACAAAGAAAACACATGGATCCAGGAAACAGGGGCTCCAACTCAGATGAGAGGATTTCCCAGAAAGATGGACAACAGAAGTCCCCAGGGCAGCAGCCATGTGCCTGGTCCACAGAGCAAGAGAAGGTGCTGCAACTGGAGCTGGAAGATGGAAAGCTCTAGAAGGGAGGTCACTGTAAAAAAAATGCATTGACAGGCCGGGCGCAGTGGCTCACGCCTGTAATCCTAGCACTCTGGGAGGCTGAGGCGGGTGGATCACTCAAGGTCAGGAGTTCTAGACCAGCCTGAGCAAGAGTGAGACCCCGTCTCTACCAAAAAATAGAAAGAAATTATCTGGACAACTAAAAATATATATATATATAGAAAAAATTAGCCGGGCATGGTGGCGCATGCCTGTAGTCCCAGCTACTCAGGAGGCTGAGGCAGAAGGATTGCTTGAGCCCAGGAGTTTCAGGTTGCTGTGAGCTAGGCTGACGCCACGGCACTCACTCTAGCCAGGGCAACAAAGCGAGACTCTGTCTCAAAAAAAAAAAACAATGCATTGACAGATTGATTACTTCATGTATTTGACGGTACTGAGAAGAGTTTTCCAGCATTTTGAGAGAGTTTGAATAGCAAGTAGGTACACAGAAAGGCTTAATCCAAAACAAAGGCAATTATTAATTCCAAGAAAAATGAAGTTGTGAAAATGGAAATGTAATCATGTGCTCAGATTTGAAGAATATTGATGTAACTATTATAATGTATATACTAAGCATGGGTTTATACGTGTGCTGTAGTGGTGGGGGTATAAGAGAATCCAACTACTCATCTTCCATACAGGAAGCCCACAGTTAGTGTCAAGCAGAGATATCGAGAAATAGCTGCAGTATTATGAAGACTATTTAGGAAGACGGAGGTAAATAGCCAAACGAAAAAGTGGAAAGAATTGAAAACAGTCTCCTCAGAAGTGCAGGAATCAGAGTCAAGAGAAGTAGGGTAGGTGCTGCTCTTTATTTTTAATTATGTAACTCAGTATTATTTAACTTGTAAAAATATAAATGCGTAACTTTAATAAAAATGAGTATTTAAAAGCCAAATAAGACAGGGTATTTGGGGAAGACGGAGAAGAAAACCACTGTTTACAGAGACTGTGATATGGTAAAAACTCTACCCTGTTAAAGTACCCCAGAGAACTGAGCTTATAGGCAGAGAGAAAAAGGGTATAGCTCCCCACGCTGTGTTGAACAAAATCAAGTTCAAAAAATAATTTTAGACCAAGAGCCGAGTGTATTAGTATATGAAATCCCAACACTTACAGTTTTAGCAAGTGCTTTGATTCCTCTTTTTATCTCTTTCCTTTTCTCTGAAAACAGATTAACTTCCTTTTTGATGGCCTGAAATGGAACAAGTACACCATTTAACAAAGCAAGAGAAGTGGGAGTGTGGGGGGGGAGGCGATACATAGTTAGCACTTCTCTAGAAACAGAAATAAAGAATTTCTCTCTTTCCTTCTTTCTTTCCTTCTTCCCTCCCTCCCTCCCTCCCTCCCTTCCTTCCTCCCTTCTTTCTTTCCTTCCTTTCCTCTCTCTTTCTCTCTTTCTTTCTTTTGACAGGGATTCACTCTATTGCCCAGGCTGGTCTAAAACTCCTGGCCTCAAGCAATCCTCCCACTTAACCCTCCTGAGTAGCTAGGACTACAGGTGCCTGCTACCATGCCCAGCTAGAAATAAAGAATTTCTAAAGACTAATAATATAAACTATACGTGAAATGCACCACTGCAATACCTTGCTTAAATATGTTACTATGTAAGTGACCACTGAAACAACTTGAAACTGTTGTCAATTACATGGCCAATGGAAAGAAAATAAGTAGTGAAAAACTAAACAGTGAATAGTTGACAAAGGTAAATCAATCTCTTCTTTTATTGGGAACTTGAGTGAGACTAGGTCAACAGGCTAAATCCAGACACGAGCTGTCATCAGTCCACTACCTACATCACCTTCCTGGACAGCTGCAGCCACGGCATCCCTCCTCCTGTTCCTGGCCCACCCATTCCTTTGGGTCACGCATCCTCCAAAACTCACCCCAAAATGAAGCATTGCAATTCATTCTTTGCTTTGGTTTACCCGGACACTTTTGTTGCGCTTCCTGTTAGCCTGTGTATGTATGGTTCTTAAGGCTCATATAACTTGATCTAAAAGATTGGGCTATGTTTAGCGTATTTATTTTCTTTCTGGAAAGTTACACTTGTATGATGTAATGCTCTGCCAAGTAGTGTCTTGTTCTGCCTTCTAACTTTCCAGTAGGTTTCCATAGGAAACTAATTTATTTGGCACACCTACAGAGTATAATTTCAAACCTATCCCATGTTTTATAAATACCTCTTGGCTTTTTTGTTGTATCCAGGGAATTTCCTTTATAACATCAGTTGAGACTAATTCCTCTTGTGATGAGTCAATGCTAGACCTCATATTTTGATGTATCTTAGAAAAAGACAGATATTTCTTACATTTAAAATTCATCAAGTTCTTCCCCTCCCACCCTGCTACAAATAACTGCTTTGAATCCCTTTGCATTTGTTGCATTCTTAAAAATAATAATATCAAGCATTTTGTCTGCCCAAGATGTTATGTTTTATTAATTTAATTCCTACCAGTTTGTCCCTATATCTGCCACACCTTCCACTGAGAAAGCAGAGAGGCTCAGACAGGTCACCCCATCACCATTCCACCTTCTTCCAGTTGCCGTGGCCCAATCACACCTGCCCATTGAGGGCTGCACCACCATCTGTGCTTAGGGTCTTAATCTTTTCCTCCTTCTTGAGTTCTTCACACTTTTTTAAAAATTGAATCTCCCTCTGCATCATCCATTTCTCCCTTCTTCTGGATCTTTCCCAACTGTTTCCAAATGTGCTCTAGTATCTCCTGCCTTAGGAAAACTACTCTCAATTATCTACCACATTATCCTTTAGCTATACCACCCTATTTCTATGCTCCCCTTTGCAGCAAAATGTCCTGACAGTGTTGGGGTGTCATCCTCTCCTGGCTCTCCCATAACTTCACTGGCTGCCTCTGCCTCCCTGAACTCTTCCCCTGGCTCTCTAGAAGCTGCTCTGTCGGGTCCTCATCTGCTTCTGACCATTCATGCTTCCATGATGACCTTACCTGGCTCTATGGCTTTAAATTCCACCCACATTCCCTTGACCCCCAAACCAACATCTCCAATCCCAGCCTCTCCCCAGAACTCAAGGCTCATCTACCTGATGGCCTACTTGGCATCTTCGCTTGGGTGTCTAACAGGCTTCTGGCGCTCAGCGTGGGTAAAACTAATTTCAGATTCCTTTCTTTCTCCCCCACAGTCTGCCTCAGCTCCATAAATGGTACCACCCCTACACAGTTGTTCAAGTAGAACAATCTGGGAGCTGGTCTCGAGTCCTTTCTTTTCCTCTCCCTCTCTGTCCAATCCATCAGCGAGTTCTATCAACTCTACCTCTGAAACCCACCTCAGATCTGCCACTTCTCTCCTGCCCCACAAGACTCTTCCACCCCAGCCCCTCCACCTGAACCTCTGCTGAAGTTCCCTGGGTCCTCTCCCTGCCGCCACTCTTGTCCCCCACAGGAAACATTCTCCATGCAGCAGCAAGTAATCTTTTCAAAAACGTAAATAAGATCTTGTTAATCCTGTGCTCAGAACACTTGCCTAGGTCCTCATTACATGTAAAATAAAATCCAACTCTTTCTTTACCTGGTTTGCAAAGCCTTTCGTGACCTGGTCTCTTCCCACTTTGAGGACCTCACCTCCTAGCACTTTCTCCCCTGCTCGCTTGGATTGCACAGGCCTTTTCTAGGTACTCACACATCACACTGCCGAGCTCTTTCCCCCTCCGGCTCCAGGATTCTTGCTCCCACCCGCTTTGCCCTGTGGTGTCCTCTTTTAATTCAGATCTCAGCTTAAATGTCTTGTCTTTGGAGAGGCTACCAGCCAAACGCCATCACATCCACCCATTCTTATTCATCCACTGAATAGAACTTGTTACTATCTAATCGTTTATTTATTTGCTTATGTATCTACCTCTCCCTGCCCACCCCCACCCCCTATTAGAATGTAAACTCCATGAAATCAGAAACTTTCTCTGTCTTGTTTATGACTGTATCCACCACAGACTAGCACTTTATAGGCACTCAATATATTTGTGAAATGAATGAATGTTGTACTCTAGCTAGACACTTCCTAAACAATGTATGTGACATGAAAGTACAGAAAGAGTGGTTTGACCAAGCACCAGTGTTAGTAGATTTTTTTTTCCAGGCAAGCCCAGATCTTGTACTACAGTTTAAATGAGATCTGAGATGTAATATTTGTGATTGCTTTGAGAAAGGCTGAATATTTTCTCTCAGATGTAGCTGATACTTGTCTGAAAATCATGACATACCTGGATAAAAAGAAATATTTAAATATCTGCTTAAAGAAAACCACAAACTTCTACCTGACTTAGAAAGAAAAAGGAAGAAAGCAAGCCGGCAAGCTAGCTAGCCAGCCACATTGGAACTCAACTGTGTGTTCAGTTTCGGATCCCAAGTCTAAGGAAACTTCTGATGTTGTACTTAAATGATCATTCTCCTCTTCCATGGTACTGATCAGAAAAGTTAATAGTCTCTGGGAATAGTCAAAAATTTCAGTGGCTAAGTTTCCTCCAAAACGCCTATATTAATGAAAAAGAAAACATATATCACAAATAAAAATCATCGTTAGCAATATTATTTCCAGATACCTAATCATATCTACACAAAGAAACACGTGGACAATTCTCTGCAGACATTCTGATTCAGAAAGTCTGGAAGGGGCCCAAGCACGTGCTTTCCTAACAAGCTCAGTGATGCTGCAGATTCCACCTGGATAACATTGTTATGGATGGTTTAAAGGTCAGAAGTCCAGGTGATTATCGATGGATCATAATGTCGTAAGTAGGGCTCCAGCACTTGTTTGCTGTCACCTGAGGTGCCATTTGTTCAATGACTATAAAGGATATGTTAGGACTTATATGGTGAGATACAAGTTAATATTTTATTCAGGATTCTATGTATGAAGTGGGCATAATGATGCAGTCTTCAAAAGAGTCTTTTTTTTTTGGAGACAGAGTCTCCTCTCTTGCCTGGGCTAGAGTGCCGTGGCATCAGCCTAGCTCACAGCAACCTCAAACTCCTGGGTTCAAGCGATCCTTCCGCCTCAGCCTCCCGAGTAGCTGGGACTACAGGCATGCGCCACCATGCCCGGCTAATTTTTTTCTATATATTTTTAGTTGTCCAGATAATTTCTTTCTATTTTTAGTAGAGACGGGGGTCTCACTCTTGCTCAGGCTGGTTTTGAACTCCTGAGCTCAAACAATCCACCCACCTCGGCCTCCCAGAGTGCTAGGATTACAGGCGTGAGACACCGCACCCAGCCCAAAAGAGTCTTTGAAATAAGTGGCTACCAAAATTGTTATGATAGAAAATCTCCACAATAGTTAACATTTCACAATGTTGCTGAGAAAGGCCGTGTTTTACTACTGCTTTGATCACAGAAGGCACCATGAAATATTATGTTTGCTGAACTGGATCTTGTTGACTAGTGATATCCATTGGCAGGTCAAGCAAGGCTAAAGTCCAAGACACCTTTTCCATGTCTCTATCCCCTGGTCATCATGTGTATGTTTGGTAGTATTTGTTTATTTAGAATTTTCTTTTTAGTCTAAGCAAAGTCTGAGTAACTTAGTATTATCTAAGAAAAATGTAATTAGGAAAGTAAATGTGTATATACATATATACATACATGTGTCAGATTTTTTAAGGGATAAATAGGAATTTTTGAAAGTTATCTTAATATAT